TCACATACACACACACAACAACACATACACACACAACAGTCTATATACATAGCACACACATAACCAATAGATAATATACATAGAATATATTAACATATATATTAAAAGAATATAGTATAGTAATATACAATATAGCGATTATGTGATATTAATGGATAGTTTGATGTAGCGTACTAGACAATAGTTAGTGATGTATATTTGTATATAAGATATATGATGTATAGATATATATAGTATATTAGTATAGAATAGTATATCATATTACATAGGTTATATATATATATAATATATATATAGAGTATTATAGATATATATATATATAATATATAGATGCATGTATACTGTGCAAAGTACGTATATTTTAGTAACAACTATCATATATATATGTGAATAGTAATTAGTATATATATATATATAATGTTTAATATTATATATAGTATATATATATGTATATATATATATTATGTTATATATATGTATATATATATATATATATACATATATGATTGCGTAAATATATACTGAGCATTATAGAATACGGAGAATAATACAGCTATAGTGTGGGGTATGTATATATGCATATATCATATATAGATAGAACAGCTGTATGCACGCCCTTCTTGACATAGCATACAACAGCTCTATATGTGTAAGTATAGTAACATATATATGATAGCACACACACAACACCCACACACACACACCACAACACACACACACATAGTGGTCGCCACACAACACACACAACACACACACATCACACTGATGACAGACAAAGATACACTCACATCTACATATTAGTATAGAAGATAGATTAATAGAAGAGAAGATAGATGATTAGATAGATAGATAGATAGATAGATAGATAGATAGATAAAGAACATAGATAGATGAGATGGATAGAGAGTAGATAGAATAAGTAGTAGATAGATAGATAGATAGTAGATAGATAGATAGAAGATATATATATAGTATTATATAGATTATATGTAAATATATGTAGTATATATATATATATATGATATATATGTATGCAGGTATACTACACAAAGCAGTACACACACACCACAGCACACACAACACACATATATCATCACACACATAATATAGAGATAGTATAATATATAATATAATATATATATATATATATATAATATATATATGTATATATTATATATTATATATATATATATATATATGTAATATATAAAATATAAATATAATATATATATTATATATATATATTGTCTATGTAAGAATAGTTTATTGAAATACGGAGAAAACAGCCTAAGAAAAAAATGGGGTATGTGCAATGCATATATAGATAGACAGTATCGCCTTCTTGAATAGATGACCTGTGTAAAAAGTCTAGGGTCCAATCCATCCTGATTTATCTTACGTAGTAAATGAACATATATTTTCCTAAAACTATAAAATACTAACGTGTTAATACGTTTAAGCAATTTTTTTTTTCGCAATCATCATCATCCAGCTAATATTTAAGTACATATACATTATGCATTGAACATAGCATCATCTTACCAATCCCATGCTTCATACAGAATGGCATTATTGTATTAGCCAAGTCTAAAAGGAAGTATTGAGTATTGAAAATATTACTATCGTACCCGATGCATAAGCAGATATCACGTACTAAAAATATCATCAGCTTGCTGTGTAATGTATAGATGCCTCAGGTATCGAAAATAGCTTTAGTATTTTTAAATAAAGGATAAAGTAGGTTGATCTTAGCAACAACATTACCCAACCCCCAGCAGCCTCTTCCTACTGAAATCCCCACTGATGTCTTACCTCAATAACCAAGCCGGCCCTCCCCCTGCAGGTGTGCCCTCACGACGGCGCCTGCCAACCCTACGAGAAGTGCTGCTTCGACACCTGCCTGGACCACCACACCTGCAAGCTGGCCGACGAGCCCTCCAGCACCGCGACGCCCACGCTCACCACGCCCACCACGAAGCCTCCGTACGTCATCGCCAACTTCGCGAGAAACAAGGTGAATCGAGGAGGATAAGCCCTGGTGCGGTTTGCTGTCGTTTGCTTTTGTGTTTGTATATTATTATTAATATAAAAGAAAAGAAGTGGTTATTGTTGATTTTCCTTTGTCTTATTTATAGTGTGTAAATAGTGTGGGGTAAGTACAATGGAGGCTAGATAAGATGCACCGATGAAAAGAGAGGAAATGAGAGACAAGACGCGAACGGGAGAAAAGGGAATAAAGGTGAACAAGAATGGCGTCGAGACCCACGTTCTGACGGTCAACGATTAGTATAAATCATTTAAAAATTGCAATTGTTACAAAGTTAAATAATTAGATTAGAAAATAGTTGCAATGTGTGTGGAAGGGGACGGAATGACAACACAGGTCATGCTGATGCTCCTTGAAATTGCCCCTTGAGTAAGCACTGAGGCTGACTGAAAATCTAGGAAAATGTATGTCAAATGCGGCTGTAATCACTCTATAAAAAAGTGAAAATGAACAGAATTTCCCCTTCATCATGATTTTTCTTGGAATGTGAAGAAAGTCGGAAAAAGCCATTTTCCTTACTGCTTCATAGGACTGTGAAATGCGGAAATTTGAAAGTTTATCGTTGTTTGTCAGGGAATATGAACAGCATGTTACATGGTTTCATAAGCATTTTAACTGCCAATCTATGAAACTAACAACAGTTCTAGGGTAGTCACCGAAACAGCCAATGACATCTGACCTAAGTTTCAGGTTACTACTCTCACTCCTTCTCCCTTAATTCTTTGCCCCTCTCCCTTCTCTCACCACCTATCCATACCCCATTTTCTTGGTCTATCCTGCTCCATCCTTCTAAAATCTTTGGTTCCTCTCCATGTCCTCTTTCTCACACTCTTTTTCCAATCAATCTCCATGGCAAATGTTTAATGTCAATCCTCCTTCCACCTTTCCTTCACTTTCTGCCTCTCTTCTATCCTTCTCCCTTACCTCTTCCTCCCTTCCATCACCCTTCCTCCACTTCCTGTCATTCTCCCTTACCCCAATTCACATTCTTTTCCCTCTCCTCTTTCTTCCTCCTCTCTCATTCTTCCGCTTTTTGTTCTTTTCCATCTCTCTTACTTACGTATATTCCCCACCTTTCCTCCTCCCGCCCCTTCTCCCTTCCTCTTCCTCCACTCCCTTTCCCTTTTCTCATTCTTCCTCTCCTTTTCAACCTTGTTCCCACTTCTTTTTCTCTTTTTTCCTCCAATCCCCTTTTCACACGTCTACCCCCAATCCTTCGTTCCCACCGCCTGTTCTTCTCACTTCCAGTTTCCCCGTCCCTCTGCCCTTCCTCTTTCTGCCTTCCCCTTTTGACCTTCCCTCCCCACCTCACTTGATCTTCCTTCTTCATAAGTCAAGTGCTTGAAAGTGTTAGGAAAGCATGGACTGTGGCCCCGTAAGATCCCTGCTCAGTATCTTAGGCCCGTACTTTTAAAACCTTTCGCCAGGGCTGGCGAAAGGTTTCGCCGGGCGATCCGGAATTTCGTACTTTTAAAATCATGCCTGGCGAACGTTCGCCAGGGATGGCGAAAGATCATATTGGAACAGCCTGGCGAAGCAAAGGCGCGAGAGCTGTTTGAATACCATTTTCTTGCTTTCAAATTATAAATTAGTAACATACTTGTGTATGATATGATGTAGGAATCACACTGAAATTCTAAAATATCTTAAAATCATAATTTATTATGAAATAAATATACGTATTTTTTTCAAGCTCAAGACATCAGCTGTATTCCTACCCCCCTACCCCTACCCCCACCCCCGAGATGACTTATTTAGATTTAGGTTGTTGTTATTTTGGTTGTAAGGATAATGTTCTTTTCACAAATGTTACCAGAAGTGTTTTTTATGGCGGCATGTTTACTTTTGGCCATAGAAACATAGCTGTAGTGCTCCACCGCCCTATAATGAGGCGTGTGTAATGATACCCTTGTAGGCCTACAGCTCAATATCTTATATCAGTTAGGAATAGTAAAATAGTAATTTTTAAACTCTTTTGTTAAAGTAAGAGTTATTTTTTGTATAAAAGTATAAAGTTGATATAGTATAGTATAAAGTACTTTTAAAACCTTTCGCCAATGCTGGCGTTCGCCTGGCGAAGCTTCGCCAGGCGAACCTCTGAGGGCCGTACTTTAAAAACTTTCGCCAGTGCTGGCGTTCGCCTGGCGAAGCTTCGCCTGGCGAAGCTTCGCCAGGCGAACCTCTGAGTGAGGGAGGCCTTACTTTTAAACCCAACGTTCGCCAGGCGCTAACATCTTGCATTCCCGCTAAATCTAGCGCAAATTTGTTTACACCTGCAGTGCACATAACATAACCTAAACTTAATTATTAACCTCGAGAGAAGACGAAAATGTTTCCGCAATAGTCTCACTTTATACTATAACAAAGGAGTTAAAATTTAACTTTATGCTATAACAAAGAAGTTGAAAATATCTTTATACTATAACAAAATTAACTTTATACTTTATGCTATATTACACTTTATACTATAACAAGGTTAACTTTATGGCCCGTACTTTTAAAACCTTTTGCTTTTTCTCGCGTTTTTTTCATTCGCCGAAGCGCTAGATTTATCAGGAATCCAAGATGTTAGCGCCTGGCGATCCCTTTCGTCTGCCTCAGTTTAAAAGTAAGGCCTCCCTCACTCAGTGCTTCGCCAGGCGAACGCCAGCATTGGCGAAAGGTTTTATAAAAGTACTTCATACTATACTGTATCTACCTTATACTTTTATACAAAAAATAACTTTATACTTTAACAAGAGTTTAAAAATTAATATTTTACTATTCCTAACTGATGTAAGATATTGAACTGTAGGCCTACAAGGGTATCATTAAAGACGCCTCATTATAGGGCGGTGGAGCCAAAAGTAAACATGCCGCCATAAAAAACATTTCTGGTAACATTTGTGAATAGAACATTATCCTTACAACCAAAATAACAACAACCTAAATCTAAATAAGTCATCTCGGGGTGGGGGGTAGGAATACAGCTGATGTCTTGAGCTCTCGACTGGAACATCGAAGGTCTTGAAAAAAATACGTATATACGTTATTTCATAACAAATTATGATTTTAAGATATTTTATAATTTGAATGTGATTCCTACATCCTATCATACACAATTATGTTACTAATTTATAACTTAAAAGCAAGAAAATGGCATTCAAACAGCTCTCGCGCCTTTGCTTCGCCAGGCTGTTCCAATATGATCTTTCGCCAGCCCTGGCGAACGTTCGCCAGGCATGATTTTAAAAGTACGAAATTCCGGATCGCCCGGCGAAACCTTTCGCCAGCACTGGCGAAGGTTTTAAAAGTACGGGCCTTAATGACAAGGAAACTTTCCTGGCTCGTCAGTGTAAAGAACAGCATGCAGCCGAATAGAGGCCGCGTGTCCTTGCAATAGTAAGTGGTTAATAATCAGAGACGACAGCAAGGATGCCTCACACAGACGCTAATCTGCTGTGCCATATGCAGATGATGCTGTGGAGAGCAATTCACTAGAAAAGCCCATCGAAGGTAGATGTTAGCTAATCTGGTAGAAGCTGCAGGACAAAATTTCATCCCTTTGGCTGTTGCACTCCTGGCCCAGCGTGAGCTCCTTCACTTGCTCGGGTGTGGGTGCCGAGGAGGAGACGTGGCCGGTAGACAAGCCACGTGCAATTGCTACAAGCAAAAGTCCTTCACAACTTAGTGAGACGCCGGAGTTGAGAAGAGTGCCTCAGTGATTGTTGGAGCTCGCAGTTGAAGAACAACAATGATAGAATTACTTAATAATTCTTGCCTTCCCACAAGAAGTTAGCAATGGAAAGTTTGATAATTATCTTTCATTTTGAAAACACAGCTCAAGAAACCATTTTTTATCATGTAAATTAAGAGAATACATTCTTAGATAATAGGTCTAATTGTAAAACGTCACCCTTATAAGACAATCTCCTAAGTATTTTTTCTACTCGGGAAATGGAAAAAAACTACATTTTCCTAATTTTGACGTTAGTTTTAAGCTTATCCTTCTACATTTTACTGAAAGAATAGCAAACACATTTACATACTTTTCGTGTGTAGTCAGTGCTATTCATCGAAGTGAATTAAAGTAAATTGATTTAGGCAATTTTACTATAATGGTTACATAAGACTTGGGCACAATTTTGAAGCATCAGTATATTAGGAAAAGATAAATAAAATCCTTAGACTTTCTGAAGGAGATCCCAGTGTTTCTGTAACATTATTCACTTTCTGAAATACAAGCTCAAGGGAAATTACTCGACAGTAATGTAATTTTCAACAACAACAACAAAAAAATCATTACTTAGACCTTCTGAAAGAGCTTTCCAGACATTCTGAAATACCAGTTTAGATCCTGTGAAATAGAAACATGAAAAAATACACGAAAGGAAAAGGTACACGAAAGTAATGGAATCCTATTCAAAACATTGTTTCCTTGCAGCTCTTCTAAATTATGTCTTCAATGTTCAAAACCATGAACAAGATAGTCTGTGGATAAAATCCTGCAGGTATCAGAACATTGTTACTACCCACAAACAAGACTGTTGTTTCCCCACTCATTTCCTTCAAAGTGCATTCTTCCTTATCATGTTTCCCTCACGTTTTCTCTTCTTGGCACGCTATGCAGCTGTAGTCGTTTTGAACATTATCATGGTATAAATGATAAATACCTTAAACTGACAACACACACACACACACGATCACTCGGATAAGCACTAGCTATGTGTCTGAGGTACACATTGGCTGGACAGCTGAGTGACCGTAAAAAAAAGCCCTCTATAATGAGATACGATAGGAAACGCAAGGTAACTATAGATGCCGAAATGCCGTTGTTTGATGTAGGTAGAAACTTCTATTTGTCACACTGATAATGATGCCTTGTTGCCTCGTGATATAGATTCTCGACCACTTCTACCCTAGTCATGGTATTACAAGTTATACCATTGGATGCGTCACAAGAAAGTTCTACTATAGGGAAAAGCTCATGAATCACAAAAAATAGCATTTATTTTATGAGGTTGCTGAAATAATACTCAAGAATTTTATAAAAGCAACCAAGCTAAAAGCTCATT